TTCTAGAATGTGATGGGGACTTTTCCCTCACCTGTCAGGTAACAGAAACAGGGCTCTGTCCTGCTCAGTGAATCTTTCTTTTGTACCACATCAAATCAATAGAGGGAGTTTCTCTAAGGTTCTTTTTTCCTTGATGTGAAAAGTATATTGCATTCACTTGTGCACCTGCTCTCTCACGCTCATCCCCCGCACCCACCCCAGGGACCCACCAGCTTACCCAACATTAGGTCCATTGTGATAATAATTGCATGTTCTATCTGTTCCATCAGAAAGTTTAATTGGTACTCTGCTGATCTGAAATTACAGGCATGCTCCCTGATGGATCAGCCAGACTGAAGAATGTTGGGGAAAACATATCCCACAGTTTGGGATTTGTCTCCCCAGCCTGTAAAATAAATCTTTTAAGGGCAACTTTGCAGGCCACCTGTTGGTCATATGTGGAGTATATAGGTTGCATTGCAGAATTAATCCACTATATTTCTTTTTGTTGTATATAGGTAAATTAGTTTTCCCCTATGTTTAAGAAGATAGATATTTTGTGGTTACTATTGGTTTATATTTGTTCACTGTAATCAAAGTTACAAGTTATCTTCTGACATTAAATAGTACAATGGAATTCCCTTTTTAGGAGTTCTCTGGAACTTGTCCTCATGTGATGCAGTAAAGATGACAATCATTCGAGATGCTCTATCAACACTAACTAACACTGTGATAGTTCCACATTCTGGATGGAATAATTCTTCCTTTGATGATGATCATAAAATTAAATTCCAGACTTCTCTAGTTCTGCGCAATACTACAGGATGCCTGAGGTAAATCACCGTGTTCAAGATCTCTGTTAAAATAGTAATCAAGTTATACAACAATGTATTCAAATTCCTTTTAAATTGCAATTTCTTAAATAATATAGTTGTTACATCCTTTTTAACCCTCTTAGTTCTTCCTCGCATGCCAATTAGTAGGAAAAGAGCATAAATACAAACTTAGGAGCTCAGAGGTACTATTTTATGAATGTATGAATGCTGCTACTTGGTAAGGATTAAGCTTCTATTGTTTTTGTGCTCATAGCTAATCTTTTCATTATTAATCAGTCACCACTGTCTTGATACTGAGGGTACTGTCCATTAAACTTATTCTTTCGAACCTTGAATTAACTTGAGTAAAGTCATCTCTACAGAAATCACGTGATAATATTCACATCACTAATAAGATTATATAAAATATAAAACTTAATTTTGATGAAAAATACATTTGAATTCTGAAGCAAATGCAACTATTTAGAGACATTTATTTTTAATGAAAAACCTAAGTAAGAAAACTAGGAGTACTTCGTTAGATCGAATATTTTAAACATTACTGACAGCAAACAATGTACAAAAATTAAATAGACACTATCAAGTTAAAAATTGTTCTATTGAGTGAACTTTTTTTACCTGCTATTGTTACAAATAATATATGAGATTACTATAAACGAAAGCAATTAGAGACAATTTTTTTTTCTTTTTTCTATTTTTTTTATCCATTTACCTTCTGCATTTGACACTTTATGTATAGTCAATTCACTGTTTCATCTCTTGTTTAAGCAGGTGTTTCAAACAGCAGTAAGAAAAAAAAAAAAGAGCCTTTTTAAAAATAGGAAAACATAAAACCACAAAAAATGGCAGGGAATTTAGGGGCCACATGCAGTACATAGACTACTTTTTTTTTTTAATTATTTTTAATTGGTGAGATTTCAAGTTGACTTTGTTCCTTTAACCCAGTGGTTTTCAAACTTTTTTTCAGCCACCCAGTTGAAGAAAATTGTTGATGCCCATGACCCAATGGAGCTGGGGATGTGGGGTTTGGGTGTGGGGGCGGCTCAGGGCTGGGGCAGAGGTGAGGGGTGTGGGGTGGGGTCTGGAATGAGGAGTTCAGGGTGTGGGAGGGGGTCAGAGCTCTGGGCTGGGGGTGCAGGCTCTGGGGTGGGGCTGGGGATGAGGGGTTTGGGGTGCAGGAAGGGGGTTGGGGTGTGGGAGGGGGTCTGATCTTGGGGATGCAGGCTCTGGGGTAGGGCTGGGGATGAGGGTTTTGGGGTGCAGGAAGGAGCTCGGGGTTTGTGGGGGGCTCAGGGCTGGGAATTGGGGTGTGGGGTTGGGGCACAGGCTTAGCTTGGGTGGCTCCCTGTCAGCAGTGCAGCAAGGGTGCTAAGGCAGGCTTCCTGCCTGTCCTGGCACCATGGAAGTGGCCAGCAACAGGTCCAGCTCCTAGACAGAGGTGCGCAAGTGGCTCCGCACGGCTCTCGCCTGCAAGCACTGCCCCCCCCCGGCCACGCCTCAGCTTCCACTGGCCAGGAACTAGCCAATGGGAGTGCAGAGCCCGTGCTCAGGGCGGGGGCAGCACATGGAGCCCTGTCTTCCCACCCCCAGGAGCCAGACTTGCTGCTGGCCGCCATGACCTAATGCCTTACATTGCACGACCCAATACTGGGTTGCGACTCACAGTTTGAAAACCACTGCTTTAACCTACAGAGTTGGTATACAGTGCTGCGATAGAAGCAGGGGGATTTCCCTGGATTTGGTGGTGTCCATTTCACATACTGGAATACTGCTAACCTATCCCTGCCAACTACTGCTTTACTCTTGAGTCATAAAGAGACTTTCTGAAGAACAATTTCTTGTGTGTGTTTGAAACACACCGGATTGAGCCAAATGGCATATTTGCTTGTAATTTCCCAAAGTAGATTATCAACCAACTATATAAAAAGACTTTCCTTCTGCAAATGATTTGATTAGACCATTACTTGTATATATGTATGACAGTGAATACCATACATAAATACAGAGTATTTTGATTGACGTTCTTACTGCATTTTAACACTTTAGGAATCTAAGCTCTGCAGGAGAAGAGGCAAGGAAGCAGATGAGGTCTTGTGAAGGGCTGGTTGATTCTTTGCTATATGTGATCCATACATGTGTGAACACATCAGATTATGACAGCAAGGTGTGTGCTTATTTTAACTAAGTAATTTCTAGGTATCAGACTAGTTGTCTGATGTGCCGTTTTTGTTTTGGATAGTGCAAGTCAGCCACAAAACTCTTGAGCTCTACTTATTTTTACAAAACCTTTTCCACCCCTACATTTATTTATTCACAAAATCAAATTCTGTTGTGGAACACAAATTTATTTATTCTATGTGTTTAATTCTCACAATGATGAAGCACCCATTGGGGGGAAATAATAATTAGCAGTTACCATGCTTTTTCTCTTGAAAACACTTTTTAATAAATGCCTAATTAATCCTTTTTAATAAATGCCTAATTAATCCTCATACCACCTCTGTGAGGTAGGCCCCTATTATCACTAATTTTATAGTTGAGAAAACAAGCAGAGACACTATAATTTACCCAGAGCCATAGAGAGAGCCATTGTGAGACTGACGATTAGAATTTGGGAGTTCTTGTTCCCCGGTCCTGTGCTCCAAAAATATTTTCACCTGTACTTGATTTGTTTTATACGCTGTTTCACCATTTGTGAAAGTATATTAATTACAGGATATCTCCATACTTTGGTTTCCAGACAGTGGAGAACTGTGTGTGCACACTGAGAAACTTGTCCTATCGCCTAGAATTGGAGGTACCTCAGGCACGTCTGCTGGGTATAAATGAATTGGGTGACTTGTTAGGGAAAGAATCACCCAGCAAAGATTCAGAGCCAAGCTGCTGGGGGAAAAAAAAGAAGAAGAAAAAACGAACTTCACAAGAAGATCAGGTTTGTATTTTTCTTCTATTATAAAAACATCAAGTATTGTTTTTCCAGTAGTAAAACACTGTGTCCGGGAGAAAACTGACCATATCCAATAATATGGTGACTATATCCAATATTTTAAATTATGATATAAAGAGTTGATTTCAATTTTGCTTAAACCAATATACTTACAGTTAATGTGTGTTTCTTTCTCAGTGGGATGGAGTTGGCCCTATACCAGGATTTTCAAAGTCTCCTAAGGGTGTGGAAATGCTGTGGCATCCATCTGTAGTGAAACCATATCTAACACTTCTAGCAGAAAGCTCCAACCCAGCTACTTTAGAGGGCTCTGCAGGATCTCTCCAGAATCTTTCTGCAGGCAACTGGAAGGTATTCTATTAAACCCATCCCATAATCCTGTGGCAAATGAATTTCCACCTCTCCTGCTACACTTGTATTTCAACTAACTGTTCTCCTTTAACAACATCATGACACCTGAGCAGGGGTTGCCATTTCCTAAAGTGCATATGGTGTTTCTCCATTAATCCATGGTTTCTCCATGGTGTTGTTAGTGGTCCTACAGTGCACCCCTCCTGTGTTTCTCCATGAAACCCAAAGTCCTGAGAGATGCTCAGTGGCTCCTCTGATGTGGGCATTTTCCTAAACTCACATTGAAGTCAATGGAAATGGAGGATCCTCCGCATCCTGCTCCAAATGCATCACTTCCTTAATACTTGCCTGACCTCAGTTTAGAAAAGCAAAGGAAATGTCAAAGCATAAACTAGAGTCAAGCACAGTGCATTCAGGCACCCTGGCAGTGCCTCTGGCAGTTCCATAATTCCTGTCCCATGCCTGTCTGAACACAGAGCCAAATGTACCAAATTTCAAGATGTCTTTGTGATGTGGACACACATACTTGGAATTGTGATTAATTTAGGGAGATTCCATTTTGTTCAGTTTTTTTAATCTAATTATTTTCATATTCTGTTTGTCCTTGATATTCTCTTTTCTAGAGAAACAACAACATGTAGTTCGATATTTTGTATTTTTGTAGCCCTTTGTTAAACTCTTACAAAAGTTGTCTAATAATCACAACTGTCTTATGAAATAGATAAGCAAATCTGTTGTCATTTTACAGAAGTATAATCTGAGGGAAAGAAGTTAAACTATTTGTCCACAACCACTTATGATGTTAATGACAGTCCTGGGTTTGGCATTCAGGAGCTCAAGATTGCTGGGCATTGGCTTAAATCTCCAACTGTACCACATCCATTATTTCATTAATAGTATTCGTAGTTGTCATACAAAATATAAAAATATAAAGTTCTTCTGGTTTTCATTTTTAAATAAATTTACCAATAAAATATGTGAGGGGGAAAACATTGGTAAAGATGAGAAAGAGAAAACTTTATACACTTCTCTTGGTCTCAATTCCCTTACACTCCTCTGCATTCTGCTCCTTTTCACTTTCACAGTGAAAGGCCATGAAGAGCAAGCAGCAGAAAATGGGTGGCTTATTGGGAATGGCATTAAATTCAGTTACCACTATTTAGAAAAAAAATGAAAATGTGTAGGTTTTTCCCATTGAATACATGTGCCAAAAAAAACTTTGAACACTGAATTGTGCTGGAAAATGACTGCCAAAAATTGAAGATCAAAGTCAACTAAAAATGTACAAAATAATAGATGCAAGTCCCACCTCTTCCCAAGTATCAGAACATGGGTATTACAGTAAATGATGGTAGTTCATGCCTAATTGGTTATTAACAAGAGCAAGGCAGTATTTTTATTATTTGCTGCTATATGCCAACTGTGCACTCCTGCTTGTGGCCCTCATATATGCTGCATTACAAAGGCAGCACATGACATCTCTTTTTAATCACTTTTATGTATTTGTCATAAAGATAAAAATATTAGTTGCTTTCTTTGCTATACAAAAATAGCTGACCAATATCATTTGGGATTTTCACTCTTTTGCAACTGACTTTTTTAATCAATCTTTTTCCTGAAACAGTGTTCCCTCTCTAATAGATTTAATCTCCTTTGTCAGTACATTTCTTTTATTAATTCATATATTTAAACATTGTTCTACAATGAGAACATTTGCAGTGGCCCAGAGGGCAGGCCTAACTCCCAGAACCAAGTAATGGGAACTGGGCACCCACGTCTTGTGTCTGCCTTTGGAACTGTCCCACTAAAATATGTATGAATTGTAATACAGTAAAAGATAATATTGGTGCTGTTTTAAAATGGTAGGTGTGTAAGTAATTGAGTTTTATGTAATAGTTTGCAGCATATATTCGAGCTGCTGTCAGAAAAGAAAAAGGGCTTCCAATCCTCGTGGAACTTCTGAGAATGGATAATGATAGAGTTGTTTCTTCTGTGGCAACTGCCTTAAGGAATATGGCTTTAGATGTTCGCAATAAAGAGCTAATTGGTAAGTATACGTAACTATACTTAAGTATGCAGGGATAGCAGCACAAGGCAATCTTTTCTTGAGTGCTTGTAGAGAGAAAACTTATTTTAGGATGAGAATACACCATGTGATCTAGTTGTGTAGTCCCTTTTATCATATTACATCATTAGAGTCACATACATTTTAATCTTCTTGGGAGAAATAGCTTTCTGGAGCAACATTGTCTTATTTGTTTGTCTTTAGTCAACCTGTGCAGCCAGTCCCCTTACAGCAGAAAGAAGTTGCTTAAATTCAAACTAAATCAGACAGGAAGTTTCATTGTCGAACATGATGAGAAATATCACTCCCCTTTCTTGAAGCTAACTAGTAACTTTATCAAAGGGCTACAAGGTGCTGTATCATAAAGGGATTTAACAGTTCATATCTCAACACACAAATAAGTGCTTTATTCTGACAATATCAGATTTGTTTTGTTTTGTTTCTCCTGCCATAAAAATCCCAACTCCAGCAAAACCAGCTCCAGGTATAAGTATACATATATATGTAATTGACAGGGCTGCTCTTCTAGAGATAAAATCCGCCCAAGCCCTACACCCCCTTTCCTGGGGAAGGCTTGTTAAAAATCCTCACCTATGCAAGGAGGTGTAGAGCTTGGGGGAATTTTGGGAGGAAAGACTTTTCCAAGTGGGCTCTTTCCCTATTATATTTGTTAGACGCTTGGTGGTGGCAGCAATAAGGTCCAGGGACAAAAGGTAAAATAGTTTGTACCTTGGGGAAGTTTTAACCTAAACTGGTAAAAATAAGCTTAGGGGGTTTTTCATGCAGGTCCCCACATCTGTACCCTAGAGTTCAGAGTGAGGAAGGAACCTTGACAGTGAACAAATAGAGTTTGTGTTGATTTTATTAGACCTATACGTTGTCTTCAGTCACATATAGTTGATCATACTGTACAGCTGATCATAAGGCATCAAAAGGCTCTAAGTTTTGGCAGGAGTAGGTGGGAGCCTCTTTTTAAGTGTTTTTACTCCTTTTTACTTGGAGCACCCAGCAGGTGATTGTGGGCTATCATTTATGCACCCTGAGACTTTATTGTGTGGAGGTACTGCAGGGTTCTATTCTTTCCCCTCTCTTGCTCAATGTCTATGAGGCGAACAAGAAGGCAATAAGAAGATGTGTGCTCCAATGTCTGTAGCATCCAGATGATACTCAGCTGGATCTTTCTAAGTGTAGGAAAGAGAGATACTGGCATAGTATTCTTCCTGAGGCTGTTCAACTCTGGAATGGGCCCCCTCTTCTGTCCACCAGAGCCTGGATTTGTTAAGCCTCTGGACATGCTGCAAAACTGATCTAGTTTTCTACAGAATTTTGAGAAGGGGATGGGGTTATTGATTGGTATGGGATAATGTTTTTGTGTGGTTTGACTATGATAGTGGGTACATCTATACTGCAAAATGGCAATGGAGGGTACATCTATACTGCAAAAAAAGACCTGTGGCCCCAAGTCTCAGAGCTCAGGTCAGCTGACTGAGGCTTATGGGGCTCACACAATGGCCTAAAAACAGCAATGTAGATGCACAGACTTGGACTGGAACCGGGGCTCTGAGACCCGCCTTTCTTGCCAGGTCTTAGAGTTCAGACTCAAGCCTGAACATCTACTCTGCTATTTTTGACTCCATAGCACAAGTCTGAATCAGCTGACCTGAGCTCTGAGACTCGATGTCACAGGTCTTTTTTTGCAGAATAGACATACCTAGATTTAACTGGACTAATATAATTATTCTACTGGGAATTTTAAGTCTTGTACGTGGACCCCAGAGTTAGATTTTTTTTCCAATCTAAATAAATAAAATCAAAATAACAGTAGAAGTACTGAGAGGGTTACAATTTTCATTTCTTGGAATTTTGTAATATACTTCTGCCACCTAGTTTTACATAACTCTGCGTTTCCTAAATTTGTATGTGAAGAAATATTTGTTTAACAACAATGAAGTTTGGCATGTTTTTGCTCTGAAAACCATATTTGCAAAAATTAAGTTTCACTTTAAAATAGACCTGTTATAGTTGGAAAATGTGTGTTCATAATGTTTTGCACATAGCTACAAACAATATAATAATCACAATCTTCCAAAAAGTAGATAGAAAGATCCAACCAAGGAAAGAGGAGAAAGTGTCTAATTATGGAAATAATAGGATTATATATAGGAGTCTTTTTTTAAATAAAAACCTTGAGGAAAAATCTGTTTGTTTTTAAATGTGGGGATATAAACACTCTCTAGCAAATGTCAAGGTAGATTGAGTTCCACACCCTAGCAGGTACTACACCAAAGGTGCCACCACTTTCACCTTTGGGTTAGCTCCCTCAAAGGCTGGTGGGGTCCCAGTACCAATATATCCCAAGTTGTCTGGTTTTAAAAAATATTGCAGTTTTCTAGTATGCTTAAAAAGAAGTTACTTTCAGAAGCATTTCTTCTGTAGTTAAGGATCAGAATTTCTCCGCTGACACATTATATAAATACAAAGTTAATACCTTTATGTAAAATTTATCCCATCTATCCATTATTCACCATTATATATAAATATATGTCTTCAATAAAAATCCATTAATAGCCATTCAGTTATCAAAGCAGGCTAAACAAAAAAAATATTTACTTTAGCTTTAGTTAATTTCCTTTGTTTGCAAAGTGATTATTCCTGTTTGTCAGTTGGTAATTGAAATCTGAAAGAGCTGAGATCTAATCTTTTACGGGTGATAAATGAGGTGAACAGAATGTCTGGTAATTCCTCCAAAACTACTGAAAGACTTTTGCACACCTCTCTAAAAGGAAGCCTTAGTATGAGCACCGCTCCCCCAGTGATGAGAAATAATGTCATTTTTCCTGTAGCAATTCTACTTCCCATCAATAATTCCTATTTCTAAGCTATCCAGTGTTAAGGCCAAGTTGTGCCTTGTATCCCACTTTGTTTAACCAAATTCATTATTGCGTCTCTTCCTATATGGATGTGTCAGCAGATATCCTACAGTGTACATTAACATCGTTAAAGTTTTATTTGTGCCATTTTCTGGTAAAGTGGTGGTTTGTGTCCACCTAAAGGCATAAAGAGTTTCAAATAATCATAATATATGTCAGCAACTAAGGCATGGCTTGAATTAGGGGAAAGAGTAAGTGATAGCAAGTTCCAACATTTTCTCAACCTTTTCTTTCCTTTATTCAATTGTTTTTAAACTATCAAAATCAGAAGCAATGAACTGTGATCATGCAATAACCACCTACAAATTCAAGTCCTGCCTAAAGAAGATTAGAATATGCACAAGTGTAACGTCTTACACATTTCTATAAAATTTAAGTTGTTTGAAAGATGCTTAAGTAATCTTTTTGTAACATTGCTTATCTCTTGCTATAAAACAGCTCTGCTAAACATCCTTAACTAAAATAAATAAGCTCACAGATCAGTGTATGTCTGTGTACATTGGCATATGGCCATAATATTTTTTATCAGGCTTTTGCTAATCCAGAAGACAAATGCAATGTATTTTTCATTTAGGAAATTACACTACAGTGTCTCTTGCCTCTGAAATAATTCAGATTGCACACAGTTTTCCACTTAGTGTTGATTTTTTATTCTACTTTCCTCATTGTTGCTTTTAGACTTATATATTTCTTGTCAGAGTGCTTATGTTTCAAATGTAAATTGCAAAGTACATTTCCTAACTTGGTTTATGTTTTTTTGTAGGTAAATACGCTATGCGAGATCTGGTGAATCGCCTTCCAGGAGGCAATGGCCCAAGCATATTGTCTGATGAGACTGTAGCAGCAATCTGCTGTGCTTTGCATGAGGTCACCAGTAAAAACATGGAAAATGCCAAAGCTTTGGCTGACACAGGAGGAATAGAAAAACTGGTGAACATAACAAAAGGAAGGGGTGACAGGCAAGTAGGCAGCTAGATTTGCTAGCAAAATGTTTCTTTAATCCATTTCAGATAAAAACAAGAAAACAAAACTTTTAAAGTGAATTTCCTGCAGAAAAGGGATTTGTTCCTTCGGTTCAGGTTTGCTCATAAGACAACTAGTCTCCCACAGCTGCAGACTGTATTATTTCCATATAGTACTTGCCAGTCATTTAGTTTGTACAGTATTCTCCATATAAAGCTTCTAGGGGATGTACAGTAATATACTATAGTCAGATTAATTGGACCTATAAGATAAAAGTATCTGAAAGTGCTGTTATGAATATTAAACACACACACACAAGATAATAAAACATTATTAAGATTGAAAAGTCAGGCACTTAGAAGTTAGGAAATGCCAGAATTAAGATTGCCTTTGGAACCCTAATCTGGCCCCCTTGTGCATAACAATATGATAAAGTATTTAATTATATATGATCACATATTATTTTTTCCACAGGACCTCTGTCTCAATCCATGCACAGCATGGAGGTTGCTCACTTAATGAAGAGCTCTTCAATATTTTGTTTTCTCCTTATCGTTCAGTGTTTGGTTCTAGGTCTTACTGCACACTACCCAAATCCTGCTCTGAAATAAGAATTCTTAATTTCTTCATGGGCTTTTCTATGGTGCTCATCACTGTAATATCTGAGTGCTTCCCAATAATTAATTAATTTTATTTTCATAATAATCCTGTGAGATGAAGGGGTATTATCCTCTTTTTACAGCTGAGGACCTAAAGCGTAGAGAGATTAAGGTCAACAGTATCCACTAATTTTGGGTGCCCAATATGAGATGCTTACAGCCTAATTATTCAGAATATTTACGATTACATAGCACTTTGTATGCTCAAAGCCCAGCTCCCATTACCTTTAGTTGCAATTGTGAGCACACAGTACATCTGGAAATCAGACTCCAAGGGTATCAAGTTGGGCAGCCAGAAAATGAGGGGTGCCTAAGTAATGACCAACTGTGAAAAATTTGAATTAAACAACCTTACTAGTATCACATGGAAACTCTGTGGCAGAGGGAGTGATAACATCCAATTCTTCAGGGCAGCATTCAGCTGCTATTACCATGAGGCCCTCCTATCTGTTGTAGCAGTCTCCTGCCTCATTCATGACACACCTTCCAATTTGTGGAACAAATGATGCAGGGATCCTAAAGACAAGAGCCTCTTTTACCACACCAACCTGATTTATTTCCAGAGATGTTCCATCCTGCACGCCGAATTACAAGCACTAGAGGGGTATGGGACATTTTGCCTATGGGTTTCATATATATTTGCTGAAAGTAGAGGAATTGAGACTCACAGATCTTGGTTTCCAGTCCAGGTTGTGGAGGAGACAATGATCTAGTGGGCATAGACACTACCATTTCCTCTATGCTTGACCCCTTCTGTCCCATCCTCTCCAACCTTTCCCAATCTTGACTCTACCTAACCATTATCTCCTTGCCCTGTCCCAGTCCCCTTGCCTACCCATTCTCATGGCTTCTTATCCCAGTCCCAGTCTCCTTGACCAGTCAGTCCCTGTTCCCTACTCCGGGCTTCTTGTCCACTCTACAGCTCACATTCCTCCTCCCTCCCCACTGACACCCAGTCCCAATCTATCTGCCCAGGTTTCTCATCCAATCTCAGTCTCCTGGCTCCTTATCCCAGTCTTTTTGACCAGTTAGTCACAGTTCTCCCCCCTAAACCTCAGCTCCTTCTTCTTCAAGTAGGTGCAGCTCTGTATTCCACTTAGGTGTGTGCGCACCAGAGCTGGAAATTTTACCTTTCAGAACCCATAGAGGGGAGGCCTTTATGCCATAGCACCTCCTTTAGCTATATGAGGTGTGACAGGGTCAGGCCAGATGGCTTCAGGAGAGTAATAGAAGGCAGATATATTAGCCCCAGGTTAAGTAGGTCCCTTTTCCCTGGGTAAGATAACAGGGAAGGTTCCAGAACAGTCAGGAACCTTCTGGAGACAATTAAGACAGACAGGCTGATTAGAACACCTGCAGCCAATCAAGAAGCTGCTAGAATCAATTAAGGCAGGCTAATCAGGGCACCTGGGTTTTAAAAAGGAGCTCACTTCAGTTTGTGGTGTGCGTGTGAGGAGCTGGGAGCAAGAGGCATTAGGAGCTGAGAGTGAGAATGTGGACTGTTGGAGGACTGAGGTGTATAAGCATTATCAGACACCAGGAGGAAGGTCCTATGGTCAGGATAAAGAAGGTGTTGGAAGGAGGCCATAGGGAAGTAGCCCACGGAGTTGTCGCTGTCGCACAGCTGTTCCAGGAGGCACTCTAGACAGCTGCATTCCACAGGGCCCTGGGCTGGAACCCAGAGTAGAGGGCAGGCCCGGGTTCCCCCCAAAACCTCCCAACTCCTGGTCAGACACAGGAGGAGTCGACCTGGACTGTGGGTTCAGAAAAACGGCCAAGCTGAGGGCTGCCATGAAGCTCCAAGGCAAGTAAATCCGCCAGTGAGCCCAGATCCACCAAGATAGAGGAGGAACTTTGTCACAGAGGCAATGCCACCCTGACCTCCCTCTGTTCCTTCTTCTGCCCCTGCTGGAGTCACAGCTCTGTGTGATTTTCACCTTGCAAGCCCTCTATTTTTAGTGACTTTTCTAGTTGTATATAGTTAATTAGTACCCTTAGTATAGCTTGCATCCAGATGGTCTAGTTTGCAAAGTTGAACCTTCACCCCTCTCCAAATGTGGATCAGGATGGTTTACCATCCGACTCTTCACCCCCTAGACAGATTGGTTCATCTTTCTCAACTGGTCCTGGACTCCTTGCTGTGGTGGATGTGTCCAGAGAACATTTGCCAGGGCATTCCCTCTTGCACTTGTGAACCAGGTCTGCTGTCACTGATGCCTCCCTGATAGGTTGGGCAGCACACCTGGGCTTATGAAAGTTCAAGCTCTGTGGTTGGAGCAGGAGTCCTTATCAATTTGCTGGAGCTTCAGGCCTTCTACAATGCATGTCATGCTTTCCTGGACCATATTGGGCTCAATGGTTACAATGATACCACCACAGTGCATTATGTGAACAAGCAAGGGGGAATGTGTTCCAGGATTCTGTCCCAAGAGGCAATCAGGTTGTGGCAGTTCTACATCAAGGAGAATGGTGATGGGGCAGCTGCCCCTCACTGGCAGGGGTTAAAAGCAGCCCTAGGGAGGCTGCACTGGAGGCAGCCAATTAGAGAAGGACTGAAGAGAGCAGCCAATCAGGGCCAAGCAAGCCCATATAAAAAGGGAGCTGCAGGGCAGAGGCTGGCAGTTCTCTGCTGGGAGCCCAGGGAGAAAGGATTGTGTCTCTGGAGGGCTGAGAGGACTGCCAGCACCCTGGACAGAGCAGTGCTGCTAGCAGGGACTGAGGGAGTGAGAGAGCTCCTTGGCTGGCTGCTGAGGTTTGCAGGCAAAGAGGCATGCTGAGGGCCATGAGGAAGTGACCAGACAATTCGCTGCAGTAGCCACTAAGGGAAATGGCTGAACAGCAGACTACAGGTCCCCGGAAGGGGGGAGCACAGTGTGTGTCGCTGAAGAGGACGCTGCAGTCCTTGGAGAGATATGGGTCCTAGAGCAGGAGTGATAGCAGCAAGGCACCACCCAAAGAGGGCGCATTAACATGCAGAGCTAATTCCCAAGACAGCCATCAGGAGGTGCCGCAGTGGTGAGTGAAGCCCATTACAGAGATCACTAACCAATAGCTGACCAGTTGCCCAGAGTCCTAAATCATCTCATGGACCATCTAAGCAGAAATTTTTCCCTGAATCACTAATAAAAACAGGCATTCTCTCGGTCATCTTTGCAGCTTGGGGCATTCTGACAATCGACCTGTTTGCTACAAGGGACAACAGGAAACCTGTTCTTCTCTCAAGGGAGCCTCAGTCTGCGCTCCCTGTCCGATGCTTTTCATCTCAGCTGGCATTTGGCTTGCCTGTATGCTTTTCCCCCAAACCCAATCATCCCACATATCATCCTCAAGCTGAAAGCAGATCAGGCCAAGCTCATTCTCATTGTCCTGGCGTGGATGAGGTAGCGCTGGTTCTCTGACTTTTCCACATTGTCAGTTCAGTCTCCCATACCCCATCCTCTCCATCCTGACCTGCTCACAAAGAATCATAGTCACACATTGCATTCAGTTCCCTACATCTCTTGGGGTAGTTGCTATGTGACTAAATGAGGAGGAAGAGCAGTGTTTGACGATAGTTGAATAGGCCCTACTCAACAATAGAAAATCTTCTATCAGAATGGCCTGTTCAGCTAAATGGAAGCGGTTTTCGGTGTGGTCATTGGCTCATAGAATTCAACCAACACTAGCTTTTATCCATGACATCTTGGGGTGCCTGCTGCACCTTCAGTCATTGGGACTTGCACTTAGCTCACTGAAAGTGCATCTGAGAGGGGTTGGGGCAGCACTGACTTATATAGCCAGGGGAGGCTACAGCCACAAGGTGCGTACGATCCCCTTCTACAGATACTGCTAGGCAAAATTGTTACTCTGTTGCACTGGGCCGTGCACACACCTAAGTGGAATTCATGTCTGCATCACACCTCAAAGAACCGCAGTTAAGTAACTGGTTTCACAGTGGTAGCCGTGTTTGTCTGTATCAGCAAAAAGAACAAGGAGTACTTGTGGCACCTTAGAGATTAACAAATTTATTTGAGCATAAGCTTTTGTGGGCTAAAACCCACTTCATTGGATGCATGCAGTGGAAAATACAGTAGGAAGATATATATATACACACAGAGAACATGGAAAAAATGGGTGTTGCTATACACACTATAAGGAAAGTGATCAATGAAGGTGAGCTATTATCAACAGGAGAAAAAAACCTTTTGTAGTCATAATCAGGATGGCCAATTTCCACTGCTATGGGTACCTGCATGGTCCCACAGTATGCCAACATTTTTATGGCTGACTTAGAACAACGCTTCCTCAGCTTTCATCCCCTAATGTCCCGACTCTGCTTGCGCTACGTTGATGACATCTTTATCATCTGGACCCATGGAAAAGAAGCCCTTGAGGAATTCCACCATGAGTTCAACAATTTCCATCCCACCATCAACCTCAGCCTGGACCAGTCCACACAAGAGATCCACTTCCTAGCCACTACAGTGCTAATAAGCGATGGTCACATAAACACCACCCTATACCGGAAACCTACTGACCACTATGCCTATCTACATGCCTCCAGCTTTCATCCAGACCACACCACATGCTCCATTGTCTACAGCCAAGCTCTAAGATACAACCGCATTTGCTCCAACCCCTCAGACAGAGACAAACACCTACAAGATCTCTATCAAGCATTCTTACAACTACAGTACCCACCTGCTGAAGTGAAGAAAGATTGACAGAACCAGAAGAGTATCCAGAAGTCACCTACTACAGGACAGGCCCAACAAAGAAAGTAACAGAACGCCACTAGCCATCACCTTCAGCCCCCAACTAAAACCTCTCCAGCACATCATCCAGGGTCTACAACCTATCCTGAAGGACCCAACACTCTCACAAATCTTGGGAGACAGGTCAGTCCTTGCTTACAGACAGCCCCCCAACCTGAAGCAAATACTCACCAGCAACCACACACCACACAACAAAAACACTAACCCAGGAACCTATCCTTGCAACAAAGCCCGTTGCCAACTATGTCCACATATCTATTCAGGGGACACCATCATAGGGCCTAATCACATCAGCCACACTATCAGAGGCTCGTTCACCTGCACATCTACCAATGTGATATATGCCGTCATGTGCCAGCAGTGCCCCTCTGCCATGTACATTGGCCAAACCGGACAGTCTCTACATAAAAGAATAAATGGACACAAATCAGATGTCAAGAATTATAACATTCAAAAACCAGTCGGAGAACGCTTCAATCTCCCTGGTTACTCGATTACCGACCTAAGAGTTGCAATATTAGAACAAAAAAACTTCAAAAACAGACTCCAACGAGAGACTGCTGAATTGGAATTAATTTGCAAACTGGACACCATTAAACTAGGCTTGAATAAAGACTGGGGGTGGATGGGTCAGTACACAAAGTAAAACTATTTCCCCAGGCTTATTTCTCCCCCCTACTTTTACCCTCACCTTCTTGTCAACTGTTAGAAATGGCCATCCTGATTATCACTACAAAAGGGTTTTTTCTCCTGCTGATAATAGCTCACCTTGATTGATCACTCTCATTATAGTGTGTATAGCAACACCCATTTTTTCATCTTCTCTGTGTGTGTATCTATATCTTCCTACTGTATTTTCCACTGCATGCATCTGATGAAGTGGGTTTTAGCCCACGAAAGCTTATGCTCAAATAAATTTGTTAGTCTCTAAGGTGCCACAAGTACTCCTCGTTCTTTTAGTTAAGTAGCTGTTTCTTGTCAGATCTGTCTTCTCTGTTTCCTGCCCCTGTTCCTCACCCCTACTGGTCCCTAGTCTCAGCCTCCTTGTCCAGCTAATCTGTGTTTTTTCCCTCCACCATCCCAGCAACTAGTCATGTTTTCTCTCTCGCATCCCCCTCTAGTCACTCTGTGCGGATGATGCATGCACAATCCTGTCAGCACTAGAAGCTATGAGGGGATGGAGCATGCTCAGTGAAGATGAAATCTTTGGAGAATTTAGCTGCTAAAATCTAAGTCTCTACTGAGCATGTGGGAACTGTGATTTGTTTTTTTTCAAGGTTTATAACTTGGTTAAACTGGGGTAGATTTTTACAGGGACAGCAAAAGGCATATCCCTGATACAAAGGCTACCCCTTGCCATATTTCAAGTGCCTGCATGGGGGAGCTATTGTTTGTCAAAGAAAAAGTTCCCAGAATTTTTTAACATGGCAAAAGTGTATTTTTTCCTTGACTTGTTCCTGGAAACTGCTGAAAATTATAAATAAATAAATAAATAAATAGCCTGAGGCAGACACAGAACATTTCAGTCCAAGTGGTAGAGTGTGGCAAAGTTATAAGAAACCGAAAACAGGATCTTATAATGGGAAGCGACAGGCTACCAGCCATTCCTACAATAATCTTTATATTTGTATTGGATGATTGCTTTAAAGGCAGGAGTGTAAATGATTTATTATGATATATTTTAATTCTATTTTCTATAGCATATGCTTTCATGAAGCGTGCTGGATTGACAGCCCTGGAGAAAGAGGTTGTTCACAAACATGTACACCACAGATACTAGCAGTCCTGACTATCCCATAAGGTATATCTACACAGCAAAGAAAAACCCACGGCCAACTGATTCGGGCTCGGGCTGTGGGCTGTTTCATTGCTGTGTAGACTTCTGGGCTCGGGCTGGAACCTGAGCTCTGGGACTTTGAGGCCTGGCTCCAGGGGAAGGCCAGAAGTCTACAAAGGAATGAAACGGCCCCACTGTCCAAGCCTCACGAGCCCAAGCCAGCCACTGCTTTTTCTTTGTGGTGTAGACATACACATGCTGCCTTTTCATGTGTTTCAAGGCTCACCTGAAGGGAAGGGATCACTTCTAGTGTAAAGCTGTGTCTTACCATCCTATACAGTCTCTTTGCTGAGACTGCCAATATGACTGTTAATTGCAATAGTGGAATTTTTGTGACATGGGAATCTGTTCACTGGGCCTTAGGCTGAGACTACCCAGCCCATTTCCCATAGTGTTTCAAGCTGTAATATGTAAGTGCACTTTCTTTACAAGAGTCAATCCTGTATAATAATCGAATATTCTTTATCTTCTTAGATCATCATTGAAAGTGGTCAAGGCAGCAGCTCAGGTATTGAATACATTATGGCAATACCGAGACCTCCGTAGCATTTATAAAAAGGTAAATTACAAGTATGGTTCTGACAAAATTAGCATTCATCTGGAAACAACTTCACAATGATTCTGAGCCATTTATTTTAATGAAATGTAATTCATTTTGACATACTCGGTTTCCCACTCCACAGGATGGATGGAATCAGAATCATTTTATTACACCAGTATCAACATTAGAACGAGACAGATTCAAATCACATCCCTCCTTGTCTACAACAAATCAGCAAATGTCACCTATCATTCAGTCAGGTCAGTTAATAAACCTTTCCCTTTTTGTGGACAGGTTGGCTGAAGGGCTTTTCCACTTGAGGTGGATCTAGTATGTCTCTTTTAGAACTTCAGGGTACTTTTGAATGTGCCTACCTTACCTTACTTTCAGTGATATTACAGTTTTTAGCCCTTGGGTTACTTATCAGTCTTGCTTTTCAGACCAGTGCATTGGAATTAAGGTTTTTCTTTTATATTTTGTTACAAAACAAAACACAGTATGATTTATGCATATAATACTTATATACTATAATAATACTTCCTTCAAAGTGCTTTACACATACCAATGAATTAAAACAGACTCTCCAAAACTTTTGTTGTTAGGAGACATGAATCCCAGTTATTAGGAAGAGACTGGTAATAGTAATGGGAGATTTGATCATTAGAAATATAGTTAGCTGGATGTCTGATGACCAGGAGAACTGCTTAGTGAATTACCTGCCAAATGTGAAGGTTGTGACTCTCTCAAGACATCTAGACAGGCATATGTGCAGTGCTGGCGAGGAGAGTTCCTGGAGGCCAAATTTAGGCTGCTAGGTAAGACATTGAAGTCCAGGACCCACACGGTAGCATTCTCTGAAATGCTTCCAGTTCCACACACAGGGCCAGTTAGACAGGCAGAACAACAAGGTCGCAATGCATGGATGAGACAATGGTATAGGGAGAAGGGGGTTAGGTTTATTAGTATCTGGGAAACCTTTTAGTGAAGGAGGAGCCTATACTGGAAAGTTGGGCTCTACCTAAACCAAAGCAGAACCAGATTGCTGGCATGTAAAATTAAAAAGGGTCATAGAGGAGTTTTTAAACTAAGGGGCTGGTGGAAAGCCGACAGATGAGAGGAGCACACAATTTGGACAGAAACATCTCATATGGGAGGTTCTATTAATGGGGATACTCTATATCCTAGTAAAGAAGAGAAGATAGAAGTAGATAAAGTACATATAGGAACTAAAGAGAAACAGTCAAATGAAAGAGTCCCTATTCAATTGCGTCACATAATGGTAGACAACTAAAAAGTGACAAATTTTATAAGTGCTTGTATACAAATGCAAGAAGTCTAAATATTAAGATGCGTAAATTTGAATGCCTGGTATTAAATGAGGATATTGATATAATAGACATCACAGAGACTTGGTAGAACAACAATAATCAATGGGACACAGTAATACCAGTGTGCAAAATATATAGGAATGACAGAGTAGATCATGCTGATTGGGGAGTGGCACTATATGTAAAAGAAAGTATAGAGTCAAATATAGTAAAAAATCTTAAATGAATCAAATTGTACAATAGAATCCCTATGGATAGAAATTTCATACTTGAATAATAGAGTATAGCAGTAGGAATATAGTATTGACCACCTGACTAGGATGGTGATGATGATTATGAATTCTCCAGGAGATCAGAGAGGCTACAAAAATAGAAAACTCAATAATAATGGGGGATTTCAACTATCCCTGTATTGACTGGGTACATGTCACCTCAGGACAGGATACTGAGATAAAGTTTCAAGACAGCATTAATGATTGCTTCTTGGAGCAGTTAGTCCTGGAACCCGCAAGGGGAGAGGCAATCCTTGATTTAGTCCTGAATGGAGCACAGGATCTGGTCCAAGAGGTGCATATAGCTGTACCACTCAGTAGTAGCAACCGTAAAGTAATTAAATTTGACATCCTTGTGGGAGGGAAAATCCCAAAGAACCCCTGCACAGTAGCATTTAACTTCAGACAGGGGAACTACACAAAAATGAGGAAGCTAGTTAAATGGAAATTAAACGGTACAGTCACAAGAGTGAAATGCCTGCAAGCTGCATGGAAACTTTTTTAGAACAGCCTAACAGAGGCTTATATTAAATGTATACCCCAAATTAAAAAATATAGTAAGAGGACCAAAAAAGTGCCACCTTGGCTAAACAACCCAGTAAAAGAAGCAGTTAAAGGCAAACAGGGAGCATTTAAAAATCGGAAGATAAATCCTGCTAAGGAAAATAGAAAGGAGCATAAATTCTTGCAAGTCAAGCATAAAAGTATAATTAGGTAAGTCAAAAAAGAATTTGAAGAGCAACTAGCAAAAGACACAAAAACTTAACAGCAAAAACATTTTTAAGTACCTCGGAAGCAGGAAACCTGCTAAACAATCATTGAGGCCATTGGACAATCAAGATGCTAAAGGAGCACTCAAAGAAGACAAGGCCATTGCAGAGAAGCTAAATGCAGAGGATGTGAGGGAGATTCCTACACCTGAGCTATTCTTTTTGTGTAACAAATCTATGGAACTGGCCCAGATAGATGCATCTTTAGAAGAGGTTTTTGACCAAATTGATAAACAGTAATAAGTCACCCAGACCAGGTGGTTTTCACCCAAGAGTTCTGAAAGCACTCAGATATGAAGTTGCAGAACTACTAACTGTGATATGTAACCTATTACTTAAATCAGCTTCTGTACCAGATGACTGGAAGATAATTAATTTGATGCAAATTTTTAAAAAGGTTCCAGAAGCAATCCTAGCAATTACAGGCCAGTAAGCCTAACTTCAGTAGCAGGCAAATTGACCAGGTTGACACTATAGTAGAGAACAAAATTACCAGATACATAAATGAACACAATTTGTTGGGGAAGACTCCACACAGCTTTTGTAAAGGGAAATTAAGCCTCATCAATCTGTTAGAATTTTGTGAAGGAGTGAACAAACAGGGGTGATCCAGTGGATATAATGTACTTTGACTTTCAGAAAGCCTTTGACAAGGTCCCTCACCAAAGGCTCTTAAGCAAAGAAAGCAGTTGTGAGATAAGAAGGAAATCCTCTCATGACAGGAAAAGACAGGAAACGGTAGGAATAATTGGTCAGTTTTTAGAATGTAGAGAGGTAAATAGCGGTGTTCCCCAACGATCTGTATGGAACCAGTGCTGTTCAACATATTCATCAGTGATCTGGAAAAAGGGGTAAATAGTGAGATGGCAAAATTTGCAGACGACATAAAATTACTCTGGATAGTTAAGTCGAAAGCAGACTGCAAGGAGTAAAAGGATCTCTCAGAACTAGATGACTGGGCAACAAAATGGCAGATGAAATTCACTGTTGATAAATGCAAAGTGAAGCACCTTTGAAAACGTACTCCAACTATACATATAAAATGATGGGGTCTAAATTAGCTGTTACCACTCAAGAAAGATCTTGGCGTCATTGTGGATAGTTCTCTGAAAACATCCACTCAATGTGCAGCAGCAGTCAAAAAATCTAAAAATGTTAGGAACCATTAGGCAAGGGAGAGATAAGAGAAAATATTATAGGGTCACTATATAAATTCTTGGTACACCTACGCCTTGAATACTCATGCAGATGTGGTCACCCCATCTCAAAAAAGATATATTGAAATTGGAAAAGGTTCAGAAAAGGACAACAAAAATTATTAGGGGTATGGAATAGCTTCCATGTGAGGATCGATTAATAAGACTGGGACTTTTCAGCTTGAAAAAAAGGGGGCATATGATAGAGGTCTACAAAATCATGAATGGTGTGGAGAAAGTTAATAAGTATTTTCTACCCCTTCACATAACACAAGAGCCAGAGTTCACCCAGTGATATTAATAGGTAGCAGGTTTAAAACAAACAAAAGGAAGTACTTCTTCACACAATGCACAATCTACCTGTGGAACTCATTGCCAGGGGATATTGTGAAGGCCAAAAGTATAACTGGTTTTAAAAAAGAATTAGATAAGTTCCTGGAGGATTGGTCCATCAATGGCTATCAGCCAAGATGATATGGTTTGCAACCCCATGCTCTGGGTGTCCTAAGCATCTAACTGCCGGAAGCTGATGATTGCCCTGTTCTGTTGATTCCCTCTGAAGCATCTGGCATTGGCCACAGACAGAAGATAGGGTACTGGGCTAGATGCACCATTGGTCTGATGCAGTATGGTCGTTCATATGTTCTTATGATTCTTGGGATGTTGAAGAAATTTGGCCTCACTCGTACAGACAATATTTTTGAGAGTGGTGATAATTCTATAACCAAACTCACTGTCATATTTCCAACTATCGCTCTCATTTCCCTAAGGTTTTTTCAAACACTGATGCTCTTTCTTTCTCTTACCTCCTTTTCAACAGTTGGCAGCACATCTTCATCGCCAGCACTGTTAGGAATCAGAGAACCTCGTTCTGAATACAATAGGACACAACCTTCTATGCAGTATTACAATAGCCAAGGTGATGTCATTACGCATAAAGACATATATACTGGTAAGAGACCAGTTAGATTTATTCTAAACAAAATGCTTCTAAAATACTCTTTTATATAGTCCACATTCGGCCTGGGACAATGTAGTGTGTGCAGTTAAAAACTAGTGATTGGACTATTTTTTGTTGCATTCCTCAGCAGCAACAAAATTGTCTTGAACAATAATGCTATGTCAGTTGTTCACCACTGATTCCTTGAGCAAATCACTTTCCTCCCAGATATGACATTTTATACTGTTTTGTTTTGCATTTGTTGTTTTAAAAACAATGCATCAATGTAATAAAATTTGAAGCCAACTTAAATATTGTGCTGCAAAGGAATTTTTGACAGGTTTCAGAGGAACAGCCGTGTTAGTCTGTATTCGCAAAAAGAAAAGGAGTACTTGTGGCACCTTAGAGACTAACCAATTTATTTGAGCATGAGCTTTCGTGAGCTACAGCTCACTTCATCAGATGTATACCGTGGAAACTGCAGCAGACTTTATATACACACAGAGAATATGAAACAATACCTCCTCCCACCCCACTGTCCTGCTGGTAATAGCTTATCTAAAGTGATCAACAGGTGGGCCATTTCCAGCACAAATCCAGGTTTTCTCACCCTCCACCCCCCCACACAAATTCACTCTCCTGCTGGTGCTAGCCCATCCAAAGTGACAACTCTTTACATAATCAAGTCGGGCTATTTCCTGCATAGATCCAGGTTTTCTCACATCCCCCCCACCCCCATACACACACAAACTCACTCTCCTGCTGGTAATAGCTCATCTAAACTGACCACTCTCCAAGTTTAAATCCAAGTTAAACCAGAACATCGGGGGGGGGGGGGGGGGGGGGGTAGGAAAAAACAAGAGGAAACAGGCTACCTTGCATAATGACTTAGCCACTCCCAGTCTCTATTTAAGCCTAAATTAATAGTATCCAATTTGCAAATGAATTCCAATTCAGCAGTTTCTCGCTGGAGTCTGGATTTGAAGTTTTTTTGTTTTAAGATAGCGACCTTCATGTCTGTGATTGCGTGACCAGAGAGATTGAAGTGTTCTCCGACTGGTTTATGAATGTTATAATTCTTGACATCTGATTTGTGTCCATTTATTCTTTTACGTAGAGACTGTCCAGTTTGACCAATGTACATGGCAGAGGGGCATTGCTGGCACATGATGGCATATATCACATTGGTGGATGTGCAGGTGAACGAGCCTCTGATAGTGTGGCTGATGTTATTAGGCCCTGTGATGGTGTCCCCTGAATAGATATGTGGGCACAATTGGCAACGGGCTTTGTTGCAAGGATAAGTTCCTGGGTTAGTGGTTCTGTTGTGTGGTATGTGGTTGTTGGTGAGTATTTGCTTCAGGTTGCGGGGCTGTCTGTAGGCAAGGACTGGCCTGTCTCCCAAGACTTGTGAGAGTGTTGGGTCATCCTTTAGGATAGGTTGTAGATCCTTAATAATGCGTTGGAGGGGTTTTAGTTGGGGGCTGAAGGTGACCGCTAGTGGCGTTCTGTTATTTTCTTTGTTAGGCCTGTCCTGTAGTAGGTAACTTCTGGGAACTCTTCTGGCTCTATCAATCTGTTTCTTTACTTCTGCAGGTGGGTATTGTAGTTGTAAGAAAGCTTGACAGAGATCTTGTAGGTGTTTGTCTCTGTCTGAGGGGTTGGAGCAAATGTGGTTGTGTCGCAGAGCTTGGCTGTAGACGATGGATCGTGTGGTGTGGTCAGGGTGAAAGCTGGAGGCATGCAGGTAGGAATAGCGGTCAGTAGGTTTCCGGTATAGGGTGGTGTTTATGTGGCCATTGTTTATTAGCACTGTAGTGTCCAGGAAGTGGATCTCTTGTGTGGACTGGACCAGGCTGAGGTTGGTGGTGGGATGGAAATTGTTGAACTCATGGTGGAATTCCTCAAGGGCTTCTTTTCCATGGGTCCAGATGATGAAGATGTCATCAATATAGCGCAAGTAGAGTAGGGGCTTTAGGGGAAAAGGAATTTTTATAAGTAAAAGCTGGCATGTATCTTGACATCTCAGCTGCCCCGAGCTTCAGTTACTTAAGCTTCTTCACTTTTTACATTGTTTTTGTGTTCATTTTTAATTATTAATTTTACTGTGTGTGTCAGAAATGGGGTTTTTGTTTTGGTTATTTTTTGCTGTTTCTCTGAGAAATGCCCAATTTACTCGAAAAAGAAGAGATCAGGTTACATGTTTGTCTTTAAAAATGTGGAAAGGTTGTGGTTCAGTGAGTAATAAAATGTGTGGTGCTTCCCATTTAAAAGTGATCTTTGATTACACCAAAGTGAACATTTATTATCAAACCATGTTGTTGAATATTAATTTTTATTTTATGGCTTTATTCATAAATATTAGGGGGGGAAATATGCAAGACTTCATATTCTTCCTGATCTCAGCTGTCTTACACGTTATTATGTTCCCCAAGTAAGGCAGAGTGAACAGGGAAAAACACAAATTCCCTGTTTAAAAAGCTGGTTTATTAAACAAAACAAAAATCCTGGGGCAATTTAACTGCTGCTGTGGGACAGATCTCATTTGTGCTGTTTTCTTTTAAGCTGTGATTTCACACTACTGTTTACAAATGATGTACAGTTACTATGGCAGTAAATGGGTGTTTTACATCAGGAATGCTACATTGCAAATGCAATTTTCTTTTCTAAAGAAATGCCTGTTAAAACATATATTGTGAGATTTATTTGTCCTGCTCGCATTGTTGTAAAGTAACATTTTTTCAATAGACACATCACATAACTATTTTTGTTTTTTGTTTTGGTTTGGTTTGTTTGTTTTTTTCCAGCATCAATAAACTAATTTGTTATAGGTATGGGGTTTGTTCCTTTTGAAATACTATATTAGTTTTTTAAAAGAAGGTTAGCAGAGTGAAGGAAAAGGTGACTGCAAAAATAATCTGTATAGGCCCCCTTCTGAAAATTACCTTATTTATTTCACATTCTTATTTTTGTAGCTTCTTAAACTTCATAGATAAAATATCACACACTGTAGATGGTGACCACGGTTTGTATCTTTATGTGGGTAAAACACCCTTTTGTGAGTGCTCAAAAATGTACATTAACCATAATAATTAACACTTAAATGGCACTTAGATGATAGTAAATTGATTTGTAAACTTTAACTAATTTATCTCCACAACACCCCTGTGAGGTAGATGATAGATGGTATATCACCATTTTACATAAGGGGAATCTAAGGTGTAAGCTAATCATCAGGTAATTTGATCAAAGCAACAGGTGGAGTTGATGGCAGAGCAAAGATTAGAATTGAGGAATTCGTGGCTTCCAGTCTATCTTGAGCTCAAAACATTCTGCTCTCACTTAACTTGTTGTAGCCCACACTAACACCATGATGTTTTGTTCCCTCTAGTGGCTAAAACACATAAAGGATTATGTGAGTCTGTTCCTGCGTTTAGATAATAACCTGATCTTTTAGTTCAGGCAGTAAAGGCTCATGTTTTACAATCAGAAGTCCTGAGTACAAGCCCTGAGAGTACATGTCCAGGGGAGTCATTTTACTGCCACTGTTCAATTATTGCTCCTCTTTATGATGATTCATTTTTCATTTTCACACAGGGTAATGATTTTGCCCTCTAGTGGCAACACCCTAGGAAGAAGATTAAGGTTCTGCTACTGCTGACAGATTCTCCTTTACCCCAACTAGTAAACCTTCTCCTTTTGGACCCATAAATCTTGGTTCAGTTCCTAGCTGGGATAGATTCCTCACTCTAAGTTGTTTATAGATATAAATGGAGGGCAGAAAATACTCATGCTTCTCCTATCTCTCTGGTCAGGCGCCTAATCTCTCTCCACCTCAGACTTACGGAGGGAAATCTATTAAAATAGCCGCAGAAAACAAAAAAATTTCCCAACTATAACCTTAAATATGTTCCAACGGACTCTGCCTTCATGTTCAGCATAAGGAAAGCTTTAATCCCAGTGCCATGGAAATAAATTAGAAGGAAATCTTGTAGATTTTATTTAAAAAATAATAATAATTTGCAAGGTGCACGGTTTAGCCAATGTCATTAATACTTCAGATGTCATGAGAGTAATGACAATATCTTGATATAGTAGACCATGTCAGGCCCTTGTAAAACAATTCCACTGATTTCAACACAGTGAGGAACTAGCAGGATGTGAAAGTTTCTAAATGTACAAGTGCCACTTTCATTTGTTATAGGTACTGTAAAAACTAAAGACATTGACGGACATTAAATGATAAAATACTATATTTTTTTACAGGGTCCAGCAAACCTTCACCAATTTACATCAGTTCCTATTCCTCACCAGCAAGAGAACAAAATAGACGGCTACAGGTAACTTTTGAAATCTCATTTTAAAAGAATACTGATAGCAACGCTCAACGTGTAATGATAGTATTGTTTATTTTAATAGAACTAAAAGGAGAGTATACCGTTGCATGTTATACATATGCTTTGCAGAAAACACTTCTAATAAATGGTTTTTTAGAGAGTGTTATTGTATCTGGAAATAACTTAACAGTTTATTGCTTCTGCATTTCCTTTTTTTAATTCCTTGACTTTAATTATTCATCTATTCTTGTTGTGGCTGGCTGTGAGACCCATCTCCTGATTTGCATTTTTTGTAGTTTCTGAAGGGAGAGTTATAATCCATGCAGTCTAAAGATACTTTTGTTATCTGGATGTTTGATAGTAAATACGGCTGTGTCTACTTCTTTTCCCCCCACAGACCTGTGATTCCCAGTGGGTGTAGTTGCACTTGTGGAGGGTGTAGAGCAGATGCAGGGGTAAAGAATTTTTTCCAATTTCTTATCTAACCTTTGGTTAGACTTCACGCTCGTTTTAAAAAAAAAAAAAAAGTGTCTTCTGTGGGATACTGACCCAATTGGTGGAGCTGCATCCACTGAGAATTATGGGTCTGAAAAATCATAGTGGCTTAAAAGAGTAACGTTTTAGAGATCAGTATGCAAAGACGTAGCCACACCACTCCATTGTGTGAATGGATAATACAGGGGTCGGCAACCTTTCAGAAGTGGTGTGACGAGTCTTCATGTATTCACTCTAATTTAAGGTTTCGCGTGCCAGTAATACATTCTAACGTTTTTAGAAGGTCTCTCTCTATAAGTCTATATTATATAACTAAACTATTGTTGTATGTAAAGTAAACAAGGTTTTTAAAATGTTTAAGAAGCTTCATTTAAAATTAAATTAAAATGCAGATCTTATCAGTTTAGTGCAGTGGTTCTTAACCTGGGGTGCATGCACCCCCTGGGGGGGTGCGAGACATGCAAGATTTTTTTAGAAGGTAAATCATCGAAAGCACAAATTAAGCACAGGCACATAAGTACAACTACTTTGTTTAATCAAACCTATGTATTTATTAACATTCTACATTTTTTAATGATTACTGTAATATACAAACAAAGTTTTTAAGTTTTCAAGTTTTTAAGCTAATTGTAGTGTAATTTTTGACAAGGGCTGCAGAGCGCTGGGTCCAGGCCAGGAGCAGAGCCCTGGGCTGGCTGCCGGTACCCCAGGCCGGCAGGAGGGGTGAGCAGGGCCGGAGGCCTGGACCCCGGCTGGCAGGGGGCCAGCGGCTGGAACCCCAGACCATCAGTGGGGTGGCGGACAGAACCCCAGACTGGCAGCAGCTCACCCGCTACCAGTCTGGAGTTCCACCGGCTCCTGCCAGCCGGGGTCCCAGCCGCCAGCCCCGCTCAGCCGCTCAGCCGAGGGTTCTGTTCACCCAGGCTGGCAGTGGGCTGAGCGGGGCCGGTGGACAGAACCCCAGACCGGCAGTGGGCTGAGCAGCTCAGCCCGCTGCCAGTCTGGGATTCTGTCCGCCGGCTCCTGCCAGCCGGGGTCCTGGCTGCTGGCCCTGCTCAGCCCGCTGCTGACCTGTAAAAATCAGCTCGCTGCCAACCCCTGGGATAATATATAGCTACATCTATGCAATAAAGCCGATTATACAAACAACTCTGAAAACTTACCCAAAGGTAGAAAAAGAAACTCAAATATTTTTCCCTTAAAATCTCATTTTTAAAAAATAATTTTTTATTTGTCTATTTTGTCAACAGCATCAGCAGTTGTACTACAGTCAAGATGACGCCAACAGAAAGAACTATGATGCATACAGATTATATTTGCAGTCCCCACATAGCTATGAAGACCCCTATTTTGATGATCGAGTTCATTTTCCAGCTACTACAGATTACATGACACAATATGGACTGAAATCAACCACAAATTACGTAGACTTCTATTCCACTAGGCGGCCCTCTTACAGAGCAGAACAATACCCAGGGTCACCTGATTCTTGGGTGTAACATCAGAAAGTCACACAGAGGGATGCTATAGCTTCTAATCTTGTTTGGGAAGAAATGGAATGGCCTGTTTGCTGTTTGGATGGTGAAATGTAAAAGTGAAGTGAACGGAGGAACAAGGAGGAGCATTTTTCAAGGACTTATCAGGAAGGTGAGAGAGAAATTGGAAGGGAGAACTTCTTGCTCTGTTTAGACATTAGATCTAATTACTTGTAGTTCCTGTAGTCTGGTGAAGGTGTGGGCGATGTGATGAAAGGTTTGAGAATTGAGTAAAATGAATTTGGAAAAAGTGTAGGTCAGATAAAATTAAAGCCGATTTTTAAAATGTGAATAAAAGTCTTGTTATGATAGTTTGTACAGAAAAATAAAATGGATGCCCTTCTTGTTTTATTGCTATTACTAAATGTTGAGATTGTATGCTATTACGTCTTGTAAATTTCTTTCATTGGTGTAAATATGGAAACGCCACATTGGTTAAAAATGTCATCATTTGTTATGCAGTGTGTCATTTGAAAACAGATTTGGAAAGCTGACATCTTTAAACAGAAAAAGAAAATAACAAGGAACTCTTATAAATTTAAAAATATATCATTTTTGGTTTTGAAATGAATAGTGTAATTTTGAAGCACAAAGTACAGTCCGTATATCTACACTTTTCTCATTCCCTGCCTCTTTCATAGGATACTTCACTGCCATTTTCTATGCACATGGAAGAAAAATAAATGTGGAAGTCTCATCCATGGAAAGTTGTTCCCTGCTCATTTTTTATTTTCTGTGTGTAATATACAAAAATAAGTACAACAAATATGAATTCTAACTGCATGTTGTAAGAAGTTTAAATATCTCACACCATTTTGGCCATTTTCCCAGTTTTCTATCGTTCATACATTTATTATTTGTCAAGCTGGTATACCAAAGCATGAAATTATGCACTTGGCTCCCTTGTTTTTTCCTCTAGCCTAGTGTTTTTACTTTCTCTGTTCAGTGAATCCAGGATATTTCACAGTTTTATTGTGTTTCTGCCAGAAAAAAAGTTGGAATAGATTTAAGCCCCTTCTTTTACTTCACAGAAATTTCATCCAGCAAGCTGACGATCTGGCCCATATTCCACTTGCTCCGTTTACAATTCTTGTGTAAAAAACAGTAATAAATTTTACACATTTGTCCCATGCCATTGATGCTATTAACCTTCTTCTATGCGTTTATTATAATATTCATTTGCCATTGTTTCACTTTATAGAGCTCAAAGTGCTTTACAAGTATCCCCATTTCACTGTTGGGGTAATTGCGGCACAGAAAGGCGAACTGAATCACACAGCAAGCGAACAGATAGAATCCAGTTTTCCTGACTCTGTCTCCTAGAACACCGCTGCCTCTGTGTTAGTGAATGAAAAATTCCCAACAAAATTAATAACAAGTTATAGGCCAAACTCTGACAGCTCTGGAGCCCATCCCCCTCACAGATTACCGTATGGTTGCATACGTATAATCATGGGCACAATTTGTCTCCCATGTCTGCAGACGGTGCCTTCTGTTTCCAAAAAGATCTATTTTTAATGCAGAATGTCTTAATTTATTCCATTTTTAGTCTATTGTTATTAGGAGCCACCTCCAAACAGATCATTTAGCAGGCTGTTAATTAACTGTCATCATAGCAATTTACAACTCTTGGGTGCAGAGAATATAGCCCAAAAGGTGGTAATTCCACTAAACCACGCCTACGGGTTACTCATATGTTTGTATGTATTGTCTGTTTAAAAAATTGACTGTAAACATCTAAATGTGTGGTGATGGGCTCTGTACAAATATCTAATAAAATAATATCTCAGTGCTATACTGTGTTGAGAGCCTAAACCTACATAATAAAAGAACTTAAAAGGTGGCACTTACTTTTATTAGGAAGTATTTCACAAGATATTTCAAGATCTCCCACCCCCTACAGTCTGTATCTTTTTAGCTTGGATTTTATCATTTGCTTGTTGAGGGGAGGATTTATGATTTAGTTTACAATTTTGCTTTCTGAAGCTAGATGTTTCCTCTGCAGATGGCTACAGTCCATGGTGTTCTTTTCTCAGAATCCAGTTGTGGTGGTGCTCCAAGAAAGACTATGGAGGAAGCCACTTGAGTACTGAGCGGTAGTGTGCTGAAGTGACTCTGCCCCTCTGCTGAGACTGAGTTCAGTTGAGTTCAGAAGCAAGAGACCGAGGAAATCCCTCCAGGCCTGGTTCTTCTGTGCCATAGCACAGATATCATTATGTTCATTTACTTTTGTTTTTTATTGATCTTGTGTACTTTACACATTGTTGTCTTGTCTTGGTGTAATACCAATTAAAATGAACTCTTAGTTGGCTAATTCCCTTCATACACTGTTTGAGACTTGGTGGGGAGAGTTGAAAAGAAATTATGATTGGGCTAGATTGTTCTGTTTTGGCACACTGATTTTTGTGATCCAGTTAGACTTTCAGTCTGGTTTCAGAATGTCAGGTGCACAATTATGAGCTGCATTCCTTTAAAGAGAATCAAGCTCACAATTGTGCATTCAGGTTGACATCTCCAGGGAGGACAATAAAAATGGAAAAAGCATACTTAACTAGAACAAAGAGCAGATGGCCTTGGGAAGTGGAATGCAAATTTGGAAATTAAATGCCACCAAGAAGCTGGGAAATTATCATTTTTGTATACACCTTCCACAGCATTACATTGTAAACGTGGTACAAGAGAAACAGGAGCCAAAACTTTATTCAAAGCAGCAAATATAATCCTGAATGGATTTAGAAGATATGCAGTGGAGACTGAGTAAGAGACATACACATCTCTCTCAAAGGATTCATATGTGGAAATAACTTTTGTGGAATAAGTAAGAAGCGGGCAATTCAAAGGATAGTTCGAGGTATTATTGATGGCCCTTAGGGGGACAAAGTGGGGGAGAATGAAGAGACAACTGATACCAGTAGGTTGGGTCTGATGCTGTCCTGCCAAAGGGTCTAGAGAGGTAATCAAGGAAGGGTTCCCATTTTGAGATTCTTACTAAAAAGGCTACAAAAGATACCACTTTCAGGTCTGTGGTCCTGTCTGCATGGGAAATGCTTATTATGGACAAGAGCCAAATTTAAGGGACAGTTGTGCGTACGGTTTCATGTCCATGCCTGCCCTAAGGAGTTAGTGTGATTGGAATAGTTACGTATAAACAAGTGTCCGTGGAAGGCTAGACAAAACATGAGTTTTAAGGATAGATTTTGGAAGGGAGAGGAAGAATGCTTTTCTTCCACTTAGATGGGAGCTGTTCCAAACCTAGGATTTGTCTTCACCACAGAGTTACCTTGGGCCTTTCTTGGGTGTTGCCCCAACCATGTCAGAGATTATGCAGTGAACTGTGTAAAATCTAGTCAGGTTTGAAAATTTAGGACCATGATTTTAGCAATTGTAAAAGAGCCTAATGGGTTCTAGAACTCTTATGGGGATGGAACAAAAACAGCTGGGAACGAGTTTGGATGTGAGCAATGAATGAAAGAGAAATAAAAAATTAAATTAAGTTGTGGTCCTGGATAAATTAGTGCAGTTATCAACAAGTGGTGAGGAAAAGACATGTTTTTGGTGTGGGGAATTTGAAATAACTATGGGACATCTGGAAATGTCTGAAATGTGAGTCTGGATAGAAAAGAAGAGTTCAAAGTAGAGTGGAATCTTTGTGCAGTGTGGGCATAAAGGTGGTGTCTGATGTTGAGAGCAAATGAGGCTGCCCACGGTAAAAGTAGAAATATTCCCTCCTCCCAAATGTTCTTTCTAAAACGAAGTGGGAGTAGGAATGTTCTCACTTGTAAATATTACATATCAATGAATGTCAGGCTTATAATGTTTTCATCCAGAATCAATAATTTATAGTGCTATGTATTAGACTTTCTTCTTTCAGATGAGGGGTTCAATGTCTTCTACTTCTCCACTGACCTACTTCTCGTTCCTCTCTTAGTCTTTGGAACTGGATAGAAATTACTGCATTTAAGAATTCAAAATTATGAACATTGTCAAATACTTTCCACTCACAGTGTCACCTTCCTTACAACTATGAGAATCTGGTGAGGAACTTAAGTTCTACCTACTTAAAATAATCCACCACCATTGGTAAGAAAATAATCACCGCTTATATAGAACAGGACTGTAGTAAATGTGGCCCATCTGTAGGTTACCTAAGAAGGTTGTAGAATTCCTGTCTTGGAAGGATTTTAAGGAAAGGTTAGACAACCATCTGTCAGGGATGGTCTAGGTATATTTAATCATGCCTCAGCAAGGGAGGGTGGACTAGATGACATCCGATCCATTCCATCCCTATATTTCTATGTGTAACACTGCTGCAAAAAAAGCGAACATCATTCTGGGATGTATTAGCAGGAGTGTTGTAAGCAAGACATGAGAAGTAATTCTTCCACTTGGTACTGACAAGGCCTCAGCAGGAGAACTGTGTCCAGTTCTGGGAGCCATATATCAGGAAAGATGTGTACAAGCTGGAGAAAGTCCGGAGAAGAGCAACAAAAATGATTAAAAGTCTAGAAAATATGATCTATAAGGAAAGATTTTTAAAAAATGGGTTTGTTTAGTCTGGAGAAGAGACAACTGAGGGGGGACCTGATAACAGTTTTCAAGTACATAAAAGGTTGTTTCAAGGATGAGAGTGAAAAATTGTTCTCATTAAACTCTGAGGATAGAACAAGAAGCAGTGGGCTTAAATTGAAGCAAGGGAGATTTAGGTTGGACATTAGGAAAAACTTCGTAACTGTCAGAGTAGTTAAACAGTGGAACAAATTGTCTAGGGAGGTTGTGGATCTCCGTCATTGGAGAGTTTTAAAGAACAGGTCAGACAAACACCTGTCAAGAATGGTATAGTTATTAAGTAGTCCTGCCTTGAGTGCAGGGGACTGGACTAGATGACCAATTTAGGTCCCTTCCAGTCCAACACTTCTATGATTCAATGGTCAACACACCGGCATTAGGAGCCATCAACAGAACCGATAACTGCGGGGACCGAGCAGCATGAAGTTCATATTTCTTTATGGTACTATTATTCTACAGAGAGAGAAAACAGGATTTGAGTCATTAGTCTGAAGCATGTTAATCTGAAAGAGTGGGATCTGGAAGAATTTAACGAGTGTGCTTGATATTCAATCTGCTAACTGAATTCGAGGGAAACCACAACAAAATCTTTTTATTTATTTACAAGCCTCATGTTATAAGTCATTTTGTCACACACTATTTAAAAAATAAGAACTAAACAGATTAGGACTCAAAACATGTTTAACTACATTACAGCTACATGGGAGAAGCACCTGTGAACAGCCATTCAGAAGAACAATAGAAAGATATTACAGGAGAACTGACTGCTTGGTGCAAAGGCAAAAACTTGAGTGAATTTTAAGATGCTATCAGATGTTACAGGACACTACAACTTTTTTGCAGAGTCTTGTAAGCTGCTGTTAGAGCTGGAAAAGTACTCCAATACTTAATTAGCTTCCAACTGTTGGACAGTGCTGCAATTTTAGAAATAACTCCTCTCCCCCCAGTGATATATAAAATTTCATGATGTCTATTTCCACCTACACCACAAAGTTGTTGCTGTTTGCAGAACATTGAAAAGATTTTTTTTCTTTTGTGGAGTTCGTGTGCACCAATCAAGCAGCTGCCTGGAGAGAATTAAGTCTTATACAAAAGTTAAATTATTGGGAGTTCTCAGTTCTTTTGATGAGTGTACAATACCTCTGCTTCACTGAGGTTTCTGCTGTATGGATAATTATACATTTTCATATCTAAAAGTCTGATTTTTTGTTTGCTTGCTGTGCTTCCTGGTGAAATGTTCATAATCCTGTTAAAAAGCTGCTGACATCTCTTTCTAAACAGTACAAGAATCATCTATTTAGAAACTTCTGCTTCTGTACTTATATTTCTCTTGTCCCCTATTTGTTACCAAGGCCATTTAAAATAGGATTAAAAATGTATTTGTACCTTTGCAAAATCACTGGTAAACCTCAGTTTGTGACGACATAATTGTTTCCCAGACATGTGGTCTGGGAGTGTGGTCACACACACACACACACAGGCTGGAAGACCTTCCCTCCTTGGGGTTATGTGAAACCACCAGACAACTTAGTTGACCTTCAGTGGAGTTCTAGGTGCATATTCTTCCCAGCTCCTATATGAACATGCTTGGGAAGAATCTTTCTGCAAGTTCCCTAGCACTGCCAGTGCAAAACAGTGCAGGATTTTCCACTTTATATTAAATCATTTCTAATTCATTAGTGGTGGCTCAAATGTTTGTGGTACTGAGCATCTCATCTGTATTTGCTCTGTGTCAACACCCACCATGTTATGAACACCACATTATGGCACTCGGAATGTAATATGATGTAATCATCATCATAGCAATGTTTGGATTCATTCATTCAGGATGAATTTAACCAGTCAGCTAAGCGCTATGTTTTCTAAACCAGATTGCCCAGTGTGTGTTTAAAACAAACAATGAAGCGTCCATTTGAGGGATTTTGTTTGAGACAAATGAGGTTGTATTATTATTATTATTAAGCATAATTGCACAAAGCTAAGCTTTGGGGTTAGAGTTCACAAAAAAGAATTGCATTTCTGTGATATTAACTGTTCTTAATTTGAACTTTGCCATTCTCAGCTAGTGATCATGGAAATGTTTTATTCTAAATTATTTCCATCTCCCACCAGTCCCTGAAATGATCTGTTAATGGAGTTTACATGAATTGTATATCTAAAACAATGGTCTGCTTTTCACTAAAACCTTTATTTTAGAAGTTTATTACGGAACAAATTCACTTCCAGTCT